AAAGAAATGGGAGAATAGCAAGGATATAAGCAGTGCTGAAAAATGATATCTAAATGTGGGAAATTTGCCCTGGTGTTATGGATGTGTCTCAGTCTGATCCTTGTTGATAGAGATCAATTTTAGACAAATAATTCTTTTGCTTATATCTATTATGGTAGGGGCGAGGAGGGGAAAGCACAAGCAAAAAGAAAGTGATGCACAGTTGCTCGGGGTCAGAATTCTTTGAATGTAAGACTGCTTTTTTGAAATCATAATATATTCTGAATTTATATGATGGTAGTGTTTGCAGTGTTTTTGTCTGGGCACATTGTAAGTTGCTTTGTGGAAGTCGTTACCTAGAAAAGTAGAATGTAAACTCATAAACAAACATTATTTTATACCACAATTATAAATGCATATTGCAGAGTAACCAAAAAAGGCCCCTACTGTTATCATTTAATTGTTGAGAATAGAAAAGACAACAGCAAGAAAGAAGGGAATAGAGAGGAGGCAACTTTAATGGGAATTGTACTGTCGAGTTAAAGCAACATAAGGATAGCAGTATTAAAGTTCCCTCCAAAAATCCTCGCCCACATATTCAAGCACATCCTTTCTTTGATATATATTTCTGCTACAATCCCTAATGCTTTTCAGGCTGTAAAATGAACTGATGTAGCTGCAAACTAAAACGCATCCATGCTTTGATATTTCAGAAATTTGTTAAGTTAGTATGATAACTGATACATAAGGACTTTGACTTTGTATCATCTCCAGGGAGATGAGTGGATTGGCTATGCAACTTCTATCAGCTCTAATTGAAGGAATGTGATGACCTTAGCAGTAACCTGATCTAGTGAAATCTTACTAAGAAAAGAAAAATGACAAATGATAATTTATATAAAAAAAATCTGGTAATTGTCAGAAACAGTTTTCAGGAACTCATTGTTTTGTACCAGGGTTTGATGTTAGAAACAAACCTAGTTAGTCAGTATGGAGTTTCAAGTGGAAAGAGATAGAGGTATTCAACACTAGCATCAGTATGAACTCTCTGGCTTGGTCAGACCTGTAATCAGTGTTGGGTCCTGCTACAGACCTGATTTGTTTGATAGGTGGATAACTTTGAGTCTCCTTGTAGCTGCTTTGGGCTTGCTTGTGAAGAGAGAAAGGGGGGTATAAATAAACATAATAATAATAATAATAATAATAATATTAATAATAATACAAGGACTTCTTTGTGACCATATCTCCCCCCCCCCCCCCCCCCAATGAACTGGCATGGTTTCTAAGATCTGCCAGGAGGACCTCCTCATGGTCCTGCCACCATCTCAAGCACGGTTGGTGGGGATAAGGGAGAGGACCTTCTTGGTGGAGGCCCCCTGGCTCTGGAATGCCCTTCCCAGGGAAATTAGGCAAGCCCCCACACTGTCCTCCTTCCGTAGGAACCTGAAGACCTGGCTATTCAAACAAGTTTTTGAGAACGCCTAGTCCCTAGTTATTTATACAGTTTGTGACAGGGCGGGTGGCGCCACCTATGTGTAGAACTGTTAGTTGCAAGATTTAAACTGTTGTATCATGCTTAATCCTGCCTTTTTACCCTATTGGATTGATTGGTTATTTATAGCTGTCAATCAATGTTGTTTGCACCAGTTGAATTGCTTTCTCAGCTCAATTGTTTGGCTCCACCTCTTCCTGGAGGAGGGAGTGCTTCCCTTTTTTCATTCTGCCATCAGAGTTTCTATCAGATGGACGTGAGTAAGAGACTTGGCTCTAAAAGTCCCTGATTAAATTACCTCTCAGCACCAATTCTGAGGTTTTTACCCTTGAGACTTATGCTTCATGTTCAGACCAACCTGAACGACGTTGGGAAGTCTCAAGCACCTTCAGACCAGTTCCTTTGTCACCAGAGGAAGACCCTGTGTCTTCAAACATAGGCCATCTGGACTGGGGTTGTGAATTGCTCCGACATTTACAGCCATTGAGGAAAGAGGAAACTTGGAAAAGCTTATCAGCTGCAACCTTCTTGGACCCAAGACAACCAGAGACTGTAATGTACATTTTCCTTCACCCCTTTGAAACTTCCAGCTTATTGCCTTAAAGAGATAACTCTTTGTGAACAATAAAACTTATTTTGAGTTATCTACAGTGTTTGGGTCTTTGAGAGTTCCAGTTTCCTAAAGGAGGGCAAGAAGCAATCCCCTGGGGAAAGATGTCACATCCATGCCTCTTTCACTAAGAGCTGTAGCCCCCAGGCATGATGGCACACAGTTGTTATGCAGCCTTGCACTTTTTCATACGTTCTCTTCCCATGGCTACAGCTTTGAACTTAGCCCATTCCCAGTTCAATTGTTTATTTGCTGGCCACATTTATAGTAGTTTACTGCCATTGGTTGATGAGCGCTGTTTTTAATTGAGTATTAGTTGATGTTTTATATGTCCATATGTTGCAATAATTGTATTTTTAAATTGCTTTCATTTTATGGTCTGTTTTCAGGCACCATGTGCCATGTCTAAGCCTCCCCAAGTCCCTCCGGGGAGATGGTGGTGAGATACAAGAATAAAGTTGTTATTGTTTTATTATTATTATTATTATTATTATTATTATTATTCTCTTGGAGGCATTCCAAGAAACCACAAAAAGCACTTTAAAAGCCTTAATTTGGAGAGAACACCAATCCACATGCTGCAGAAGGCAGCACTTATCGAAACTGCATTTCCTATGAAAATCCCTCTAATATCCTAGTTTTTTGGGAAGAACCTGATATTCAGAGACAAATCCCAAACGCATGGATCTAATGTGCATGTGTGCTGTCTTATTATGTACTTATTATTATTATTATTATTATTATTATTATTATTAACATCAACAGCAACAACAACTTCCTTCTAGTAGATGTACATTCAGTTCCAGATTAGTGTCCCTGGGTTAGAGAACACAATATCAATAGCACCCATTGTGGATGCTCTTTCTTTGGAGGCTTTTTAGCAGAGGCTGAATGGCCATTTGTCGAGGCTGCTTTGATTCTACTTTTCCTGCACGATGGGGTTAAACTGGGTGGCCTGTGTAGTCTCTTCCAACACTATCATTCAATGAATATAAGGGAAAGGAAGGACAGGTAGGTTTTTGAAGTGTAAAAAGAAAATCTGATATTTAAGGAAAAAATAGTAAAAATAAAAAGGCACTATTATCCTGGCTCATTGAAGCTTATTCTTTGTATCTGTACCCTTAGGTTATTCATTTTCATAGTAATCCTTTGTGTTGAAAGATTTAGCAACTAACTGATCAGGCTCAAAAAAGAAAACATCTTCACATACATAGAACCCACGCTCTTGTTACATCCCATATAGACTACTGCAACGTGCTCTATGTGGGGTTGCCTTTGAAGACTGTCCGGAAGCTTCAACTGGTCCAACGGGCAGCAGCCAGATTGCTAACTGGAGCAGCTCTCAGGGAGCGTACAACTCCCTTGTTACGCCAGCTCCACTGGCTGCCAGTTCGCTACCGAGCACAATTCAAAGGGCTGGCTTTAGCCTATAAAGCCCTAAACAGTTCTGGCCCAACTTACCTGTCTGAACGAATCTCCCCTTATGAACCTGCGAGGACTTTAAGATCATCTGGAGAGGCCCTGCTCTCGGTCCCGCCATCATCACAAGTACGGTTGGCAGGAACAAGAGAAAGGGCCTTCTCAGTGGTGGCCCCTCAGCTATGGAACGCCCTTCCTAGGAAGATTAGAATGGCTTCCTCACTCCTATCATTCCGGAAGAATCTTAAGACATGGCTATTTGAGCGGGCATTTGAAAATACGGAGTAACGGATATAATAACGGAATAACTATATGGCGGAACTGGACATTGTTTTAATGATTATCGATTGAAGTATGTTTCATTATAGTGTTTGATTTTATTGTTGCTGATGTTTTTTATATCGTATATTGTAATTGTGTCCTTGGTGGCATTGAATTCTTGCCTTGTAAACCTCCTCTAGTCGCTGGAAGGCTGAGAAGGGCGGTATAGAAATGTACTAAATAAATAAAATCAATAAATAAACCCTAGAAATATGAAGGCTCAGAAAAAAATAGAGATTATATATATATATATATATATATATATATATATAGTCTTTTCTAAAGCCTTTTTTACTGGAAAGTTTGAAAAACTGAATCATGCAATATTTTCTTTTAGAATAATGAATAATTCATTTAAGAAAGATGTTCATATATTTTGTTAATATGTGGCTTCAAGTCGTATCCAACGCATGGTGACCCTAAGGTGAATCTATCACACGATTTTCTTGGTGAGCATTGTTCGCAAGAGGTTGTCCTTTGCCTCCCACTGGGGCTGAGAGAATGTGACTTGTTCAAGGTCACCAAATGGGTTTCTACGGCCAAGTAAGAATTCAAACCTTGGTCTCCAGAGTGTTATGATTATGCTGCATTATCAGAGGCACAGTTCACAAGGCAAATGCCAGAGGGTCATACAACAAAGCCAAGGTCAATGTTCCAAAGTCAAAGCACAAAGTTCAGACAATAACTGATACGGATAATCCAAAGACAGAGTCTAAATTCAATTACTGGAATCAAATCTGGACAAGAATGGGGAATAGTGATAGTGGTGGAGAATAAGCTTTACATACAAAATTTGCTCTCTGGCCTCTCTAGATAAGTCTGAGAAGAATAGGATGGTGTTTTACTGGGGAAGAACTTGTTCATGAAATTTTATGGACTGACATTAATTAGATAATGTTAATTCTGAACATTTGTATTTACAGGTGACAACATTTGTTAGAAGTTGATGCTACAATCTAGATAAATCATGCTTCAGCTTTTTTGATATAATGGAACAAGTTCATTTACTAAAATGCAATAAATTAAGTGGATTTTAATCACAATAAACTCCCTTGAACTTGAGTCCCAGTTACTTAAATATCTCTCATGTATAGCAAGGAGAAACTGGTTCATCTCAGAACTTAGAATGATATTTTCTTTTGCTATGCGTTGTTAATGTGAGACCACTCTTTCTTTTAGCTGAAACAAAGATCTGCTTCAAATACTACCATGGAGTGAGTGGGGCACTGCGCGCAACAACTCCCAGTGTAACAGTGAAGAATAATGCAGCTCCTGTAAGTGTTATGCCTGCCTCTTTGCTACACTTATCCCATCATCTTGTGTTCCATTTTCTAATTATTTTAGTTTAAATGTAGAACTAGGTGAAGATCCTTTGGTCCATGAGATTTACCCTTGGCCCTTCTGATTGGGGTAAATAGGAATTGTAATATATACATCTGCAGGATTTAAGGTTCCCCTTGATCAGGGATATTTATCGTCTTGGTTTTTCAGCCGTTGTCCACTGTTTGTTTTTTTTCCTGCATAGTCTTGTCTCTAGACTGGGTATATCCCATAATTGTGTATTATCACAGCTCTCCCCACCCCATTTTATTATAAATAATAATAATAGTAAAAGTAATAATAATAATACATTTTATTTCTTCCGCACCTCTCTCACAGTTCGAAGTGGGGTACAACAAAGACAAAACACATAATCATAAAAATATTTGATAAAATGCATATATTGTCATAGGCTTGTTTCTGGTGTGTTCAAAACACCAGAACATCTTCATGCCATTTGTTCACAACCAAGGTCGAGTAATGAAAACAGAATAAAATATCTGGGACCCTACACAGGAAGGAATCTGATAGCATGAACCACCTCAGACTGGAAGACTGGAAGAGGTTGGATAGAGGAACTTTCGGGAATTGAGGGGGTGGAGGGTTTGGAGTATTGAACTGAGAAGTTACCTGCATTTTCTTCCTTTATAACTTTGCTGTATAGTATTAACCTAGCATTAAAGAAATTTCCAAGATTTCCTTGTGAATTTAACTGCTACCAAGGTTCTGCAATTGTCCCATCACATTATGAATCCATCCCTGCTTTTCCTGACCTCGGTCAGTGACAGTCAACCAATTGGCAGGAAAGCTGGAGAAGGGAGACCATGGCGAAGGTGAGGGTGAGCCACCTACTTCTCAAGGGGCCAAAGGTCCAATGGGGATCGAAGAACTCAGGGAATTACCAGAGCAGCGACCAGATAACATGGAGTTAATGTGGGGCAACCCAGCAGACCCACTTACTCAGCTGTGGAGTTAAAAAGAAGGACAGGCAGTCAGTCTCCTGGGGCCCGGTACAAGAGACTACAGTCAGCATGCTGGGCCAGGGGAAACAGCAAGGGAATTGAAAGTTCAATGGAGATCTGCAGCAGCTGTTATACTTTCTCACCAAAGTGCGTAATTACATGCAAGACTATGGAGACACTTTCCGCTCGGAATAGGCGAAAGTACATACTGTGGGGGCAAATCTGAAAGGAGCAACAGTGGACTGACAATTTCAGCTCTGTGAGGGGGAGGCATCCAAGTTGAACAGCCTGTCTGATTTCTTATACCCACTAGTAAAATTGAGAGCGAAGATGCATATCAAGCAGCTATCAGGGGTTTCGTATAGTGTCAAGAGTATGCCCTAGAGTTTAACGCAATTGCAGGAAAGATTACTGATTGGTCAGTAATCTCCAATACTGATTGGAGTATTTCAAGGGAGGCCTGAGACTTCAGTTGCTGGATTGGACCTTTCAAAGAGATGATCCTGCAAGCTTAGAGGCATGTATTTATTTGACTGGCAATGTGGAGAATATAATTTATTATTTATTTATTTACAGTATTTATATTCTGCCCTTCTCACCCCGCAGGGGACTCAGGGCGGATTACAATGTACACATATATGGCAAACATTCAATGCCAATTCGACATACAACGTATACAGACATAGACAGAGGCTATTTAACTTTTTCTGGCCGCCAGGGGAGCCATCGCCCCCATTGTCCATCTGCAACACCGATGAAGCACCTCCGCATTCCCCACATGTTTTTTGCTGGAGTGCTTTGCTGGAGTCTTTTTTATGGCCTCATAAATTAGTTAATTTAGCCTCCCCACACAAGGTGGTACCTAATTTTCCTACTTGACAGATGCAACTGTCTTTTGGGTTGCAAAGGTCGACAACAGGCTACACAATTGGTTGGAAGCCCACTCCAACCCGGGCTGGCTTCGAACTCATGACCTTTTGGTCAGAGTGATCTTAATGCAGCTGACACTCAGCCAGCTGCACCACAATCAACAGATGAGAAGAAGAGCGAGAGCTTATGCCACTAAGGGAAGCACCACAGTGCCAGTGGGTCAGAAACCTACATTGAGGTTGATTGAGCAGCTGAGAATGGAAAGGAAGAAAGACAGGCTGTTTCTGTTTACTGTGGTAAAGAGGGACATCAGGCCACTGAATGTTGCAGAGGAGCAGCTAGCAATAACCCAGATAAAGAGAAGAGAAAAGCCCATAAATCTGCCCCAGGACAAGGAAAAGATGAAGCTAATATAGCAAAGGGGAATACCTGGCAAGAGAGCCAAAAAGTGACCATGAAATTGGAGGACTCTGAAGTAGACCCTGTCCAACTGGCGGAAAACCCCTCCAACCTGTTATAAATCATTACTGGCAGCAGGTTGCAATGGACCAGGGCATCAGTAAAGATTGCGAATTCAAGTTAATTCAAATTGTTGATTCGAGTTAAGCTTTAAAAAATGAGAGAATGAGAAGACAATCTGTCCTGAAAGTCCTTGTGTATACTAATTGCCTAATATCCCCAGACATAGCTACAGGACTCAGGATAAAGCTGGAGAAACTAGTACTATCTGCTGGGGATACACCCTCAAGGTGGAGCGCTAGAATAACTGAGAATTGGTCAATAATTCAGAGATCTCTCCACAAGGCTAAAACGGATTATGAACGGTTTGCTGACTGGAAACACATATCTCAAAGGGAATTCAAAGTAGGGGAATTACTGTAGAGTATCTGTCAACTAAATAGCTAAAAGCTATCCAACCTTCAAAGAAGCTGGCTCCAAAATGTGTAGGTCCTCTCCTTACCCTATTGTCAAAGAGACTGTTCAACTTCAGATACCACACAATCTAAAACTAGTACACCCCGTGTTCCATTGCAGCCTGCTGAAACGAGCTTTTGAACAGTCTACATGGCACCCCCAGGTTCAGATACCTGATCCTATTCTCAACGATGGCCAACATCATTTTGAACGGAAGGAAATACTAAATTCTAGGCATCATCATTGCAGCCTGCAATATTTGGTGCGTTGGAAAAATTATCCTGATCCTGAGTGGGTGCACTGGAAAGATGTCTGAACAATGAAGATGACCAATAAATTATAATTACTGTATCCTTTGAAGCCTAAATATCAAAACATATTTCTGTAAAATACACATATTAAAATACACAGAACAAATCCATTGTTAAAAATTGACTGAGTAGGTCTGCTGGAAGAGATCCATTTTTGGTTATCTCTTAAATTCTGACAGCTGATTTGGCTGTAGGAGCTCCTCTGGCAGGTCATTTCACAGTCCTTGGGGGCAGGGATGTAAAGATCCTCAGGTTCTGACTGGAGTAGATTGTATGGGGGAAGGCTATTGTGTAGGAAGTTATGCTTGTGAAGCAGAAAAATAGCTAAATCTGCAAAAGAAAAAAAATAATAGTAAAGGGGGAATCTTTCGAGGGAATTAGGGTTGAAGTAGTTTGTTTGGGAGGACATCAAGATCCTAGAGTACTAGGATCCTTTCAGGTCTGTATGGAGGTAAAATATATAGAGCAGTGTTTCTCAACCTGGGGGTCAGGACCCCTGAGGGGGTTGCGAGGGGGTGTCAGAGGGGTCACCAAAGACCATCAGAAAACACATATTTCTGATTGTCTTTGGAACACAGTGCTCTCTGGAGGTAGGTAAACTACATCTCCCCTAAATCACTGTCAATTCCACCCAAATCCCTCCAGTATTTTCTATTGGTCATGGGGGCTCTGTATGGGAAGTATCTTTGGTTGGATTCAAGGGGCTCTTTGATTGTAGGTGAACTATAAATCATCAAATCATCCAGGCGTCCCCTGGGCAACGTCCTTGCAGACGGCCAATTCCCTCATACCTGAAGCGACTTGCAGTTTCTCAGGTCGCTCCTGATACGAAAAAACCCCCAAAAACTATAAATCCCAGCAACAACTCCCAAATATCAAGACCTATTTTTCCCAAACTCCACCAGTATTTGCAGGTGGGCATATTGAGTGTTTGTGCCAGGTTTTGTTCAGTTTCGTCATTGTTTGAGTGGATATAGGTGAACTATAACTCCAAAACTCAAGGTCTATGCCCACCAAAACCTTCCTGTATTATCTGTTGTTCATGGGAGTTCTGTGGACCGAGTGTGGTTCAATTCCATCGTTGGTGGAGTTCAGAATGCTCTTTGATTGTAGGTGAACTGTAAATCCCAGGAACTACAACTCCCAGATCACAAAATCAATTTGCCCTCAACCCCACCAGTATTCAAATTTGGGCGTATTTAGTATTTGTGCTAAATTTGGTCCAGTGAATGAAAATACATCCTGCATATCAGATATTTACATTACGATTCATAACATTAGCAAAATTGCAGATATGAAGTAGCAATGAAAATAATTTTATGGTTGGGGGTCACCACAACGTGAAGAACTGTACAAAGGGTTCGTGGCATCAGGAAGGTTGAGAACCACTGATATAGTCTTTCTTGTGGGATCAGGGGAATGTCTATTCAGTAACTTCTGTTCTTTTGCTGATTATATTGTGGACTTGTTTCTATAGTATGTTATGATGTCATATATAATTCAGAAAGACTTTAGTGCCTTTTAGCTGAAACGCAGGTGCCTCCAACAGGCCTGTATGAAATCTGTATTCATGTTTGTCCTAGTGCTGCTGGAAAGCACAATATGCTTCTGTTTTCAAAGAGAAAGCACCTATTTTAGGCTTCATACATTTTAAAAAAGCTGTTTTGAGTACAAAGTGGCTTTTTAAAAAACCCATTAAAGACTAAAATAATTGCTTTCATATGGTCAATCAGGATCAGAGTGGAATCAGAGAGAGGTCACTGAGAGTGGGATGGGCTGTTGGGTGGTTGCCTAGAAGTCTGGCAATTCTGGTCTCATTATTTTTTTAACCATTCATTTTCAAAGATGTGAGATTTTTGCTTGCTGAGAGTTGGAGCTTGCTGTGAATATTTATAT